ACCATGCTAGGTCATGACATCAGGCATCTCTCAGTTAAGAACCTTTTATTTCTCAGAAAGGGGCAGTTCTATGGGGAATTTGAGGGGGTGACTCTCCTGTCTTAATGCTGGTTATGGGAAATGTGCTCCTTCCTGGTGACACTGTTGTGCCCTGTGCCTGGGCCTACCTTAGCCTTTTTCGCATTTTGTAATTTTCCAACTATTTCTCTCTCTAAACATCAAAAAAGTAGATGAATATAGGAAACATTAGTGAATGCAAGCATGACTTAAATATATAAAATATATAAAACAGGAGAGTTAAAGAAAAAATATCTAAACGAACTAAAACCTAGGTAATTTGACAAGGATGTCATTTATTTAATCCCTCAAAATATTCCATCTATATGCAGGATCTATAGCTAATTTATCTGTTTTTTTTCTTTCTTTCTAATAATTGAGGAAGTAATATAGTTTATTTTAGCCAGAATAACCTTGATTCAAAATTAATAATCCATGCCAAAAAATCATAACATTCATAGTTATCTTACACAGATCAAATAAACAGATAATGCATGTGTTTTTTTTTTTTAATTTCAATGGGGTTTAATAGACATTTTTTAGTTCCTAGGCTTCAAAGAAGGATCTCCTTCTAAAGTCTCAATCCCCTGAGTGTCCCAGCTATTATAAAGCTGAGGGATTTTGCCAGAGTGTATGCCACAGAGACACAGCTGCTAAGAGAAGGGATGTCCAGTTAGTCGCATCCCAGCAACTAGACAGAGTTATCTTTCATCTTCAAAGGCTCAAGTGCCTGAACTTTCTCTAATAACACCTGAGAAAATTATTACTTTGTAATTTTGCTTATTTCTCCCTCCTCTCTAGATTTTGATTGGATTCAGAAGAAAAGAACCTGGGATTGAGCTAAGACTGCCTGTGAACGTAAGGTGTCTCCTTTATATTAAAGTTATGTGATCACTCTTTCTTGTTAGTAACATCATCTATCGGTCTTCTCTAAAGACACTTTGGATACCAAAGAGAGATTCAGAGGCAGAAGAACTGGCAGAAACCATGCAAGTTAAGGTGGGTCATAGCATCGGGATCTAGAGTAAAAGACAGGGGCCGAGAGCAGGTGGCAAGAGGCCAGGGGGAAGAGAAATGACCATGTGAGGATGAGAAAGAAAGAAAAGTTGGAAAAGGATTAAGAGATTGTAAAACAGCAAAATTCCCCTAAAATAGATCTAAATCAGGAGAACTGCCTGAATAGAAGAACAGCTATGTAGCTTAGGAAGAAAAATGTATAATGAATTAAAGGTGGAAGAATAGGAAATAGGAGTCGACATAAGGAGGAATCAGGGAGCCTTCAAGAGGTTCATACGGAGTAAAGAGAACACTGATCTGCTCCCTAAATTGCTGATGAACGTAATAAAGTGCAAAGAAAATATTAAAAATGAAACCTGGGTCATTCAGACCACCAAGTCCTGAAAGGGAGACTTTAGGACATTTGGGATATAGATTCACCTCTGCTATTAAGTAAATTATGTAACCTATATCTTCATGGTTCACTTGTCTGGGTTTCAGTTTCCTCATATGTAACACATGAGGGGTTTAGACGGGATACTAACCGTTCACACTTACTGAATGCTTACTACCAATCAGGAACTTCATGGTGGGTATGCGTGTTTGGTACTCAAAAAGCTTTTCAGTTTATGTTATTATTTACTGCCCTTTCAAAGATGAAAATGAGGCACAGATTCAGGACTTGAATTTCTTAAGATCATAAAGAAGCAAAGCCATAGTCACAACCGAGGCAGTCTGACTCCATCCTCCCTAACCTCCCCATGCTGCCAATCAAACAAAAGATCCCAGAACCAACCGATAGTTAAGAAAAGGAGACAGGAATAAAAGTAATTTAGGGGCTACTCAAGAAGCCAAGAGCGAAGTAGCAAGCTGGGGTTTTGTAGGAGAGATGACCATTAATTGTGAGAGATAAAGAAGAGTGGGAAGGTAATTCTAATGCTATGTATAGAAGGAGAGCAGAAGTTACTTGCATGGCTTGTCTACAACTGAGGGACAGTTTCATGACCCACACTCAGGACTACAACACCTAAGGTGGTGTCCAAGATAGAGAAGTTTCCAGAAATGATGCCTTGGCTAATATTTGAAATAACTAAGAACATTAGGAGGAAAATGTGACCCATCCAGGGATATGATGATTCACTGCAACAATTAAAGAGCTGTCATTTATAGAAAGGAGTTACTTCTTGTAAGCATGTGCAGAGGACAAATCAAGGACAATGGGTGGAGATTCCAAGGAAGGGTAAGGAGGTTTCAGAATGCATCTCAGAGTAGGGAGGTTCTAGCTAAGTGAGCATCCTATTTGGTAAAGTAATGAGTTTCTTATTACTTTAATATGACTATAGAGACTCAACAATCCTTTCTAGATTGCTGTAAAAAAGTTTCCCAGAGTTGGATGAAAGTTTAGGTTGGAGATTTCTGATCTTTTTCTTTTTTTTCCATGTAAAATATAGTCTGATTACCTAACCCTAGTAATTTCCTTTACTTATTTATTTTTATATTTGTATTGGGGATTGAACCAAGGGGCACTTTACCACCAAGCCCCACCATGTCTGGCTTAACCCTGGTAATTTTAGCATTCTGTGATCTTCAGACCAAGCTATGGATCTCCCCAGAAATAATGGTAAGGATCATTCTGAGAACATTATGAGAGTAATGAAAGTTGCAATAGAGGTCAGCAAAGTAGAGGTCTCAGCCCAATCCTCAAAATATTCTGAAGGTAAATAGAGATTTAAGCAGATATATTTTATAGTTAATGCTCTTTTCCATATTTTTATTGATACATTATAGTTATACATAATAGTGGGATTCATTGATACATATTTGTATGTGCTCAAAATCCAACACTGTAATTTAATCAATATTGTTTTTTTTAAGTTGGTTCTTAGTACCAGGTCCCCATGCACTCATGACGAGAGAAACCCTAATTAATGCCTGAGCCATTTCAGAGACTTCACAATTGACCAGGTGTAAAAAGAACTGAACACTTTTTAATAAATGAAAGTAATTAATTCCACCTAAATAATAAGTTTCAGTCAAGCATATGAGATAGAGTTTATGTCAGTTTTCACTTGTTTTTGCTTTAGTTTTCTGAATCAAATTTTAATAAGAAGACTTTGGAGAGAAACCATGTCGAACCACTGCTACATTAAAGTGGGTTAAGGAAGTCTTTAATCTCTTTGAGCCTCAATTTATTGTTCTATAAAATGTCAGAATTGAATAAGATGAGCTCTAAACCATTTAACAATGTGGACAATTTTAATGGTATGAACCTTCCTTGGACCTATGAACATAAATAACAGAAGCAATATAAAAATTTTTTAAAAAGATCTTTTCAGGTGTTCAAATATTGGGGCATTATATGTGTTGCTACCCATGTCTCCTGATCCCCCAATCATGTTTTTGATGTGATTAACTCATTATTTCAGATCGCTATTATCAGCCTTATACAGACATGTAGACCTGGTTTCTTTGAGGGCATTTCACTTTTGTCAAATTCTGTCCTTAATGTCAGGGGTCTGAATCTGATCTCCATTGACTGATGAAGAGACAGAACCACAGCACGATCACTGAGTTCATCCTGATAGGCTTCTCCAACCTGGGGGACCTGCAGATCCTGCTTTTCTTTATCTTCTTAATAGTCTACCTGAGCACTCTGATGGCCAATGCCACCATCATGACCGTCATTCTCCTGGACAGGACTTTGCACACGGCCATGTATTTCTTCCTCTTTCTCCTTTCTTGCTCTGAAACCTGCTATACCTTGGTCATTGTACCTAAAATGCTAAGCAACCTGTTGGCCACCGTTCCCAGTATTTCCTTCTTGGGCTGTGCGGCCCAGCTCTATTTCTTTGTGGGCTTAGCTTGCACCAACTGTTTCCTCATTGCCGTGATGGGCTACGACCGTTACGTCGCCATCTGCAACCCTCTCAACTACACCCTCATCGTGAGCCGGGCCACCTGCGTGCAGCTGGTCCTGGCCTCCAGCCTTTGTAGTTTCCTGATCTCAGTGGTCGTCAACCTCCTGGTGTTCAGCGTGCCCTTCTGTGCCTCCAATCGGATCGACCACTTCTTCTGTGACATCTTCCCCGTCCTAAAACTGGGCTGCACAGACACCAACCTGAAGGAGATGGCGATCTTCTTCCTCAGCATCCTGGTGCTGCTGGTCCCCTTCGTCTTGATCTTCGTCTCCTACGTCTTCATCGTCTCCACCATCCTCAGGATCTCCTCGGTGGAGGGGCAGCGCAAAGCCTTCGCCACCTGCGCCTCTCACCTCATCGTGGTGGTCATCCACTACGGCTGTGCATCCTTTATCTACCTGAGGCCCACCTCCCTGTACTCCTCAGACAAGGACTTGCTTGTGGCAGTGACTTATACCGTCATCACCCCACTGCTCAACCCTGTCGTCTACACACTGAGAAATAAGGAAGTGAAGACAGCCCTGAGAAAGGTTCTGAGCAGATACTCATTTCCCAAAGCTGTGTGAATGGGCTGATGCCTCAGGAAACCGTGTTCACCCAAGTGTCCTGGGGATACCTGTCCTTTTTTATTGTTCTAGGACTCCTTGTCCCAAAAGGGGAAATATAAGGACTCAGATCATCTTGATTCTTTTTTATTGGAGATTTCTTCTTCCTGGTTAACTGTCCCTGGTGTAGACGTCATACCAGTCAGTCTCTAGATGTCATGTGAACATGGAAACTCTCAAAGAGTAAAGCCAGGCTGTTTCCAAGCCCTGAAATATCAATTTTCTAGGATCAACACTGCAAATGCTGCACTGTTTTTGTGAATGTACCCAATGCTGAGACCGAAAGAAACAATAGAGAACAGACAACATTGTCTGTCTCTGGATTACTTACAATAAATTATTTCTAAATTAAAAAAAAAAAAAGCATGAATTCACTTTGGAAAAAAAAAGAGGTGGGGATATTAAAATTTTAAGAGGTTAAAGGTAGAGTAAAAAACAGACTTCAAAGTTGCAAGGGGTGATTTTAACTAAAATGGTGAAGGGAGACATTTATATCACCATTGAATATTTTTATTTTGAGGCAGAGAAATCCCATAAGTAAGACTATGTCTAGCTGTGTTTATTGTTTACCTTGTTAATCAATAAAAAGATCTGAATGATTTAAGCCTACTCACTGAGCACCCAGTTGAATTTCTCTCCTTCTTATCTGTACTGCAATGGCAAGGGGTGAGTGTGTAACATGCTCATGATCTATTAGTCAATACTATTCTTTGAACATGAACTACAGTTGGGCACTGTGGGAGATTCAAAAGAAAGAGACAACATGTTGACTGATGTCAAAGTTTCTGAACTAATTGGTGAAATTTGTGAAGAACAACAAATAACACAAGATAATGTACAATTAAAGTATAAACTTAAAAAAAAAAGAGAAAGAGCTGGGTTTGACTGTTGATTCAGAACAGTTCCTAGTTAAGTGCTTTGGGCAAGATTTAAGCACTCTTATTTTCAGTTATGTTTTATGGAACATGGACTTTTAACACCTCCTCATGGGTCATTACAAGAACTACATAGATTAATGGATATAAAGCAATTTCATGCTGCTGCTAGGAGATATTTTTATACTGAGACATGAAGGGACTTCTCTCTTCACTATACTCTCTGTACTTACTTTAATAATTTGCATAATAGTTGATTCATAAATAATTCAGGACAGTTACCTATTCAAGTGCATCATATGCTTTTGCCTGAATATATGGTGGCTTTTGTTAAAATGTGTTTCGATAAATCAGAATTAGATGGCACTAATATAAGTATTTACTCCTCAGTCTTTTACTTTAGTGACAAGCAGTTCAATTAATCTTCTTCAGGAGAATTATAACCTTACATCAACACCAGTAAGTTTTCTCACATACTTGCTGAGGAAGCATAAACCAACAGCTTAAACACCATAAATTGGAAGTGATTAAAATGTGTTTGCTTTAATGATTAAATGAGAAAACACCTAAAAGTATCTAGCACCTTGTTTTGAAACATAATGAGCACTGGACAAATTTAAAGATAGATCCTGATAGGCTTCTCAAACCTAGAGGACCTGCAGATAATATTATTGTTATATGTTATAATATGCTATAATACTGAGAGGCTAAAAGAAGAGATGAGAGAACAAATACAAAGAGATGAAAAGAGAAAGAAAAACTAGGATTAGAAGAATAGGAACTCCTCCCCCACCCAAAAAAAAAAATAGAAAGCTGAGTCGAATTTGCTTTCTGCCAACAGTGATTTTCTTTTAATATCTGGAGTTCTATTTTTTAAAGTTTATACCCAATGGTTTGGCAACAAGTGTCACTAGGATAAAGTTAGGTTGCTAACGTATTCATCAGAATAGTGTCCAGAACACCCTCAAAACATATTTCATTAAGGTGCTGAATGAGTCATGTACATATATTTTAAATATTATTTTGTTCCAGGTTTAAGCTATATTTGTTGAGAAGAAGTGGACACCACCTACAGGTAAGAGGTGTTTGGGAGATAGAGGTCACCTTCAGTTTCATTCTCTGTGGCCTCAGAATCTCCAGAACACCACCTTCCCCAACTCCATCTACTCAACACTTACATTTACATCTATGGAAGGTATTTCCCTCTAATTTGTATATGGGCACACATACTTCGCTACTTGCTGCAGATTAGAAAGGGTCCACTGTATTTCTACTCTTTTTACAGACTGGCATGGACTTGCACTGAATTGACACTTTGGAATGACCATGATGGAGACGGCAATAGCAGCAAAGACTAGACCTCGCATATATTTGGGTTTCAAAATTTTTTTTAGAATTACAAATGATGATGAAATTTGGACCATCCGAAGTCTTCTAATTTATTTGTAGTTATAAATGACCACAAAAGTTTTTCTTCTGGATCTCCAGGGGTCCTGTTAATATTCATTTAACTAAATGTTGATTAAAGGTATTTTATATTATCAATCCACAATGTGTTTTTGACTTTAATGCATTTACCTAACAGATAATTATTTAGCATTTGTCACTGGGCACAGAGAGAGGTGAAATGCAGTGCAGAAAAGACAATTATAATACAGTATGATAAAAAGTTAATTGAGAGACATTGGAGATATCTATATCTATATCTATATCTATCTATCTATCTATCTATATATATATATATATATATATATAGTAATGTCCTACCAAATTTTGGAGAAATCAAGAAATATTTCCTAGAGTAAATAATGTTTACATGAAATCTGGAAAGATAAGTAAAATTAAGAAGGAAAAGAGTAGCAAAAAGAGTCTTGGAAAAGTGCACAGGCTTAGAGAAATAAGAATAAATTTCATGTATTTCAAAACACACACTACTGTCATGGATATCCAGAAAGAACACACACACACACATACACAAGAATACACAGCTTCAGTGACTAAATTAAGTGTCCTATGTGCCTAAAAATAGACCTACAGGGTGACAGAAAAAAAAAATGATAAAGATAAGGCAGAAAGCATAATCTCATTAAGGACTTTGTAGATTAAATAAATCAGAATTAATCCCACGCTATGAGCAAGTGGGGTTTAGTCAACTGTGGTTTGGCTTAACATATTTGAACTGATTTTTTCCCTTAGTATATTAAACTTATACATACCATTGGGGTTTATTAATTTATTGGCGGGGGGGGGGGGGGGGGGTACCAGGGATTGAATTCAGGGCAGAGAGCCACATCCTCAGCTGTATTTAGAGAAAGGATCTCACTAAGTTGCTTAGTGACTAGTTTTTGCTGAGGATGGCTTTGAACTTGTGATGCTCCTGATTTAGCTTTTGGAGCTGCTGGGATTACAGGTGCTCACCACGGAGCCTGGCTATTGGGGTTTATTTTGACATAATAATACAAACAGCATTTTTTTTTTAACTTCAAAACTATTGTTTGTGACAAAAAGGGAGAGAGATACATAGAAAAAATATCTGCTGGATCTGGACCATAAACTATACACACACACTCACACATGAAAGTTGAAGAAAAAATATGTATTTTAAACATGCAAATATCATTTTTTAAAAATAAAATAGTTTATTCATTCATTTAAAAAGCTAGGAAACAGTGAAGGAAGCAATAGGGAAAGTGAAAAACATTCAGAATAGAGAAAATCTTTGCTAGCTACTCTTTTTACAGAGGATTAGTATCTAGAATATATAAAGAACTCAAAAAGTTTTGCACCAAATATTCAAATAACCCAATTAATAAATGAGCAAATGAACTAAACATATATTTCTTAAAAGAATAAATACAAATGATCAACGAATACACAAAAATGTTCAATATCATTAGCATTTAGGAAATGCAAAGCAAAACTACACTGATTTCATCTCACATCTGTCAGAATGGCAGTCATAAAGAATACAAATAATAATAAATGCTAGAGAGAATGTGAAGAAAAAGGAATACTTTTACACTTTTGGTAGGATTGTAAATTAGTACAACCATTAAGGAAATTTGAGGCACCCCAAAAAACTAGGCATGGAACCACCAAACGACCCAGTGATTCCACTTCTTGGTTATTTATCCTGAAGAATTAAACTCATCATACTACAGTGACACATGCATACCCTTGTATGTACCCTTAGGGCAGAACAACTCACAATAGCCTAGGTGTCCATCAATGGGCGAATAAAGAAACTGTGGTATATATACACAATGGAGTTTAATTTGGCCATAAAAAAATAAAATTATGTCATTTGTAGGAAAATGGATCAAACTAGAGATCACCATTTTAAGTGAAATAAATCAAACTCAGAAGACCAAGGGTCCTATAATGTTTTCTCTCATATGTGGAAGTTAGAAAAAAGAAAAGAAAGGAGGGGTAAATTTCATGAAAATCAAAGTGTGATCAGAAGAAGAAATGGACTAAGGCACAGGAGCCAGGGAGGGAGGGGGAAAGGCTAGGGAATGATATTACCCAAATTATATTTTTTATTGTGTGCATATATGAATATATAACAACAAATCCCACCATTGTGTAGAACTATCATACACAGCTAAAAATATTTTAAAAATAAAATAAAATAAAGCTAAGAAAAATAAAACAGAAATATACAAAATAGGAATTACATTAGAATCTACAGATAAATATAAGAAATAAAAAGCGAAATATATTTATAAGGTTGACTGATACAAAGTTAACAATACAAAATTAATTTATATCAGCAGGAAAACCAATAAAATATTGATATCTGGAATATAAATGATACTTGTGAATCAATAAGTGAAAGAGGAATCAATAAGAAAACAAGATTTGTAGTAGACAAATTATTGAACAAGATTTGCAAAAAATGAAACCCATTACAGTTATAAAAAAAGGTGCTCAATCTCAAAAGGCAAATACTGTTATAGATACAAACAAGTGAAAGTGAGCTACAGAGTTAAATGTTGCCCTAGATGTTCAGTAACTGTAACTCCCATATGCTGTTGGGAGGAGTGTAAATTAGTAAAATCTCTTTGGAAAGCTCTTTGTCAGAGT